TTTTTTTTCGTCTTAAATTTGATGACGAGTTTTGCCTTTTGGAGTTTTTTTTTTTTGGGGGGGGGGCGGTGTGCGGGGATGTGGTTTTATTCTGACATTGTCTAAGCACCGTTTGAAATTCTGTGCGGTCTTTCTCATAGAAATGCAGGCAGAGCTCTGCAAATAGGAACGTCCGGTGTCATATAAGCTTTAATTACATTTGGTCTTTTTCCATCCTGCATATTTTGTGTGTGTTCAGCACATGCTTTTCCTTTTTTCTCCTTTTTCCCTCTCTCTCTTTCTTTTTTTTTTTTCTTTTTTTTTTTTTTTTTTTTGCAGTGCACGCTACGGCACCCCAAGCTGTTCTTCTTGCAGCGTAAAGAATACTGTGCTCTTGGAATAAGCTCAACATATAGGGTGCTCTGACTGCGTTGGTGGCATGACAAGAGGGGGTTTAGAACCCAGTTAGTTAATAAGTTTTGCAGATCGTGCTGTTCTTTGTTCCACGTACCAAAAAAAATCCTCGCCTAACAATTTCCAGTCCTCATTAGCTATGGGAAATGCATCGACAATGAGCTATCTCTGTAATTTTTACTGACTGAGAGATATATACAATACTTCTGTCAGGAAAACGCTGGCCATCTTTTCCTGTTAGGAAAAGGACTCTAAAACCTGTGTGCTGGTGAACATGATCAGAGCTGGCAACTCGGGATTCTGCACGAATTCGATATGACGAAGTTTGACATGGAAATACAAGTATTGCAGAAGATGGTGCTAATTTTCTCTTTGAGTCAACATTGTTTGCAAAGTGCTGGAGGCAGGGCAAACATGTTACAGTCGCCTTCTTTTTTGACAGCAATATTAATTTAAAAAAAAAAAAAACCTTACTTTTGAGGTATTTGGTACAGGGTTACAGAATGGTAGAGCTCTGCGTTGTATTTGAGCGTGACTGGCTGCTTTGAGTCTGTGTTGGTATAGATCAAGGAATGCAGTGATTTGATGCAGTAAAAGTTGTTTTACAGAAGTCCCAGAAAACTTAGGCTCTCATGCATAAAAATGTGCAAAAGAGCTTCATTACAAATGTATTTGTTCAAAACAGTCTCCTTAAATGAATTACAAATATAAAACACTTTGACTGCAGTTCCAGGATGCGGGAATCAATGTGCTTTTATGCTCCCAATTCAGTTTATTTACATGCCTCTGCTATCCGTAGCCCTTGTATTTCAGTGTGAGTAATGACTTGGAGCGAAAATGTGATGCTTTAATGTTATATAAACTTTGTACGTGTTTGATCATTTGGGAAGGAAAACGGACCGTCTTCTTCCTCTCCCGAGATCATACTGTCTTATTCAAAGCAGGCTGTTTGTGCAAGTGTCCACAGGCTGCAGTACACCTTAATTCTCTTCCTTAGTACACAAAAGCAGGGGAGAAGGTAATCAAGCCAGAAGGAAAAAGGGCATAGAAGCAGGAGCAGAGACTACAAAAACCTTGTCCAAGAATGTCCAGGTTACCACCCCAAATATCTTGATGTGCTCATCAGGAAAAAAAAAAGTCTTGAACTTCACAGATACTGAACAAAGGTTCAGAGCAATAAGGCTGTATCCCCCATAGGGCTACAGCCCTGTAGGTCTTCATGGGGTAAGTCTTGATGCCTTCTGACATAAAACAATCTGAGGACACATCTGCAAAAGTAGCCCTAAAAATTTCAATTAGGTCGTCAAGGAAAGCTGACATTTTCTGCAAATCAGATGATGGTGATGATCACCTAGATAACATCTAAATGCTGTATGTAGAGCAAAGAATTCCTCTAGCAGAGATGAAACACATTGATATATGCCACTGTGAAGAATTGAATACTTTCTTCACTAATGCTTCTTGCTATCACCTGGGATACAGCTTGGATCCTAACCCATCTGCCCATTCCTGCACTGGCATATAATCTATTATCATTTGGTTGCAAGAGGTAAAAATTAGAGCAGACAGTAGAAAACCTATATTGCATCAAGCTGAAAGACTGACATCTAGAATTAGGGACCCAGAATTAATGCCCCTAAGCACACTAGCTTGCTGCTTTGTCAGGTATCTACCGCATGAAAGACTGCAGACAATTTTGTCCAAAATGTGTTTGCGAGAAAGAATTGACAGAGATGAGCGACCTCAATGTATGCATGGGGCCGTGGTGTTGGGGCAGGGCATTGACCAAATCCAAGAACTGAGGAACCTGGCTAGGCAAAGGCAGAGGTGGGTGAATATATGTCTTAGCCTTGTAATATCTTCTGTAAATTTGATTTTCTGGTAAATTTTCTAAAATTTTTAAATGCACTTTTTATTGCAATAAAACTAGGAATTCACTTTCAACATGATTGTAATGCAAAGGGCTTAATATCCACAGTCTAAGCTGTTATCACAGCCAAACTGTTAAGTTTACACATTTTCTGAAGTTTCAAAGCCTCTGGCAAATCTCTATAAATTAGCAGATTTATATTAGCTTTATTAAGTGTGCTATTATAAAACATTTTAAAGTGCACAGACTACGTTTATATGTATTTAAGGGAGACAGATAGATTGATTAAATCAATGTAAATTAGGTTACAGAAGAACAACATAAGTAAAGTTTTAGAAAGTTTGCCTGGGAAGCTATTTATTGGCCTAATCACAAGTGTAATTCACGGGCACAGCCCTGCAGTTACTCTCAAAAGTGTTCAGGTTGAAAAATGTTTTTCAATGTATTTAATCTACAGATTTTAATATTATCTTCAGATTAATGTCACTTACATCGCTTAACCAGTCTCAGATTTATTTCGTACTTGTTAATTCCTTGTATCTCTTGGCATTACTGTTTGTACCTAGCTATTTAATAGGCCTAAGTGTGCAATCCAGTACAGGGGTGTTGGACCAAAGTGAATAAAATCAGATTCTGGTCCCTAATGTCTACATATGCATATACAAATGTTTTAATGCGTTAACTAACAAAATATAGAAAATTAACAAATAAATAATCTTGTTTATTATTAGTGTATATGAAATACTGAGACTATATTTTCTGAGTGGTTTCTATCGGTATGATAGGAAGTGGGAATTTTAGTGGTGATTTTAATTTTCTTTCATGAATTGACAGACTCAAACCTTGATCTTACACCGTAGTCTTTAATTTTCAAGTGCACTGAACCATGGCATTTCTTATAAAGGAAACATTTAAAACAGAAAAGGGAAGAAAAAGACGTGACTCCAAGTAAAGCAAATTAAATCTGTTATTTCTCTAATATTTACATCCTGGCTACCTCTAGCGTTTGATCTGCTGTCTCCTCTAAAGAGAATTTAGAATTTCATCTGATAAGTCCATCAGATGTATAATACGGCTCTTTAGGTGCAAGCTTTTGACCAAAATAGTCCTGGCAACTCAAGATGTCAAAGTAATTGCGATAACTGCCATTAATTTCTTGCCTTATTATCAATGCAGAATCGATGCATTGAATGTGCTGCTACCTTTAAACAATAGATATTTTTATATAAATGGCTTTATTGTTCTGAACAATGTGATAAACACTTTTATCTTTCTGTCCAGCCACTCCATTGCCATCATCAGCCGTACTCAATATCAGGTAGTCATGTATAGCTGCCATACAAGGTCACTCATGGAGGTGGCCTGTGTGCAGAATTGTCAATGAAGTGCAGAAATGTCGCTTTTTAGGAAAATATATCAGTGGTGAGAGGACATTTCTCTCTTATCCACTCATTACTTGGATAATACTCGAATAAGCTGAAGAGTTACTAACTCTCCTAAATAGCTGTGAAATTGCCTGTGGATTTCTGGATAGGCTGTAGAAGCTCTAGGCGGTCTTATAGGTTGTGAAAATCCAGGCATATTGGAAAAATGAATTGTGTTACTAAACACGAAAACTATTCTGTTGTGTTTATTCAACAAGTTATTGAAGATCACCTAGCATCTTGGTTAAACAAAGACTATTTTGTTATGATCAGGTTATTGATTTGTTACAACTCCTAGTCTATAAGCAAAGTGAAATTTTTCACCTTATGTTTCAGTTAATTAATTCCTAATTAATACCTCTACAAATGTCTTAGGAAGTCTTGGAGGAAGCATTTGTAGGGAGTAATGATTAACATTTGTGAAGGTTTTAGTTAGTTATATTTGACTGGAAAACAATTAGTTCCACCTTCAAAAATGTTAAGCTAGATACTCCATAAAGGTTTGTTGCAAGACTCCCAAGCATTTCTGGAGGTGTCAGTGAATGACATGTAATTGATTTCCAATTAGCTTACGAGCCAAGAGGGCCACAGCTTATCCCTACATCCCTACATCCATCTGCTTTGCCCCCTTTACTGTCGATAGTTCATCTGTAAAGACCATTTTTCAATGAACTGTATGATAAGTGGTCTTGTATTTGGGTTTCAGGACTGCTTTTCACTGAAGAGGTTCCATTCTTTTGCACGGATGTAGCTAATTACAAGATGGCTATTTGTAGACACAAACCATTGCATCTTGTTTTGCCTGTTTGGTTGATTGTTTTGTCTTGGCAACTTTAGTCAGATTAGTAAAGCCTGAAGAAGGCTAGAGGATGGTTCAGCCATGAGTATGCTACAGAGTGACAGAATAGCAGGGCTGGTTAGGAGCGTGAAAAATCTTCCCCCTAACCAAATCAGTGATGGCTGTAAACCCATCACGTGTACCTGACTCACACTGGCATAGCATGTCCGTTGGCAAGGTACCAATGGTG